CCCCCACCAACCCCACCAACTTGACTCACAAATGTTCATGACTTCTATTCAATCTGGGCTTTTTTTCATTAGAAACATGGCAAATGAACAGGCTTTAAGATTAACCCTATAACTCCCTGTAACCGAAATCAAAGAGAGCCTGACTCCACCGTGTCGTGGCACAACAATGTAAAACATAGGCTGCTTTCTTTGCTTTTAACATTCTTTTCTGCTAGGGTCTTTGAATGAAACCACTGAACACGTCATAGCCTTGTATTATAACTTCCAAGACTATGCATTATGACGCAATTCCGGTTAACCTCTGAACGAAAAATCAAGCTCTATTTGGAACTAAATGGCCATAACAGTGCCAGATCTAGGATTATAACTCGTCTGTGGAACATATCCACGCAAAAGGCAGTACACAGACAATATGTTTGTGCTTTAGCGCCTTTAAAATGGCAGCTTGTACTGTATGCTTCCTGGGAAGTTAAGACTGTTTCAGAATGCTATCAGGTCTGTAGGGGTAATGATATTAATATTATGGATTGTACAGGGCACTGAGCCCGCCAGAGAGCAGGAATTTGAGCTATACAAATGCTGTCTATTATTATATGTCGGGTTTGTTAAGAACAAAATGTTACCTGTGTTGTGGAATGTGACTCTGAGATCTGGACTTCCTCTCAGAAATGTAAAAGTAAGTAAGTGGAGGGTTTTAACTCCCCTATCAACTTAAGAGGCGGAACTTCCAAATACATTTAACGCCCCTCTCTGACAGGACCAAACCAAAAGGGATGAAAACACAGAGCTTCACACTACGGGTTCAAGGCCGCCCAGTCTGGGATTCGAACCAGCGTCATCAGTTCCGAAGTCCAGCATGGTGCCAACGGACTGAGCTAACGGAGTGCCTCCTCAGAATAGTGTCGTTGATTCGTCAAGCTTTAACTTTCTGATCATTCGACAACGCCTGAAGACTGGAAGTCCTTTGAAAATGAAGAACAACTTTGTTGTTCATGCAGTTTCTTCAGTTCTGTTTTCCTTACTTGAAACTTAAAAAAGGCATGCAACACCATGCATACAATGAAATGTGCAAAATCTTGTTTCTGATTTGTGTATGATGGTTTGAAATGTACCACAACATTGCCTTTGGTCTGCTGCTGAAAGGACACAGAATATATTCGCTACCTCATAAAAGAGATATTGATCATTGCACATTTTGAGAAGTCGCAAACACATTGTACTTTAGAAAGAAATGCACCTGTCCTTGATGTCTAACAGAAACAAGGAGCACTAAGCGATTGGGGGCTTCGCCGTCGCACGCAGAAGAGCCGAGTACGATTCCAGAATAGGGGCAAATTTATATCCAGTATCTTTGTCTTTCCGCTGGGATGTTGTATCCCTCTCAGTCCAGGTTTTCCCTGACAATCAGGTCTGGAGCACGCCTCCTAATTGATCAAAATTGTGTCGATGTAGACGTAAAAACACCTGGATTTGATTTTTTTTCCAGAACAGGAAGAACCAATATGCACTTTGAGCATTTGATGGAGGAGTGTGTTCTGCTGCATACAGAGTACAGGCACTGCAGACGGATGGCTTCTTGGATAAGGTCAGTCACCTATTTGTATAACTTTGAACGCAAACAATTTAACAGAAAATGAAATGATATTGAAATCAGAAAGAGAAAATGGGAGTAAATCGAACACACTTTTAGAAAATGTTAAAATTTATGTGTTTTTGCGTCACGAAGTTTAGTTCCCGTGTAGAAGTTTGACTCCTAAACACCAACTCTTAGCCTGGCAAAGACGAAAACTGGGTTGTTTCCGACTATCTTACATTATAAGATTGTTTTAATTTTTAGTAAGACTTTGATGGCACTTTCAACACAAATAGGTCATAGAACTGTCAAAAATTGACGGTGTTATAAGAGCATACCTTCAAGGGAAAGAAAGAGGAAAACTAAGAATAATGGATGTGTGATAGGAAATAAGGAGCAAACTCCACCAGTGGACCCGCCAACCACCCCCGTTTTCTAAGCTAATCTCATTACCTGGCTGCTTAATTAATTAGTTTTGCTTATTCTTTTCCTCCCACAGGAAGACAACGTTATGCTTCATCGTCATGTGTCAGATTGGCTTTTTATGTTTCTACATTAAGATCATAGGAACAATGCTACAGTCAGTAAGTAACATGAGAGAGAGAGAGAGAGAGAGAGAGAGAGAGAGAGAGA